CCAATTTATAAGAGAATCCTTGGCCTAGCCACCGTGGCGCAAGAAGGAAAACATAACCAATATTCTGAAATTCTATAATGTTGCTTAGTTAGTTATTATTTTTTTTAATGTGTAAATTTGTGCTGGCAAGTAACATGGTGGTTAAAGGCACTAGACTCTCACAGGATGACTGAGGTTCGAGTCCCAGACCTGGCAGCTTGCTTTCTCACTTTCCCTTTCTCTCTCTTTCTCTCTCACTCTGTCCCTCTGGTCAAATTAAAATAAGTAAATAAATAAATAAAGTTAAATAAAATAATTCTTTAAAGACAATGTGTAAATTTTTTTAAGTGTTGCAAACGACTACCAATTTTCCAAAAGGGCTGTGGTTTCTTACAAATTATGTATTTCACCCTTAACTAATCAGAGTTTTTTCTTAAAACTGTAGTTTTACAGCAAGATTTACTGTGACTATTACAACAATAAGACAGGTTTTTTCAAAAAGTAATGGCTTGTTTTAGGCTCAGAATAAAGAAAAAAGCACTAACCAAATAGTCACCACCCCAAAAATTAAGAGTCCTCTCATTGATCATGAAATTATAAAAGGAATGAGAGCTCCCTGTGTCCACAGGCTGGCATGGCTACACTCATCCCTTTAAACATACACCTGTTTGCTTCTACTGAATAGTTCAAAGAAAAACTGCTTTGCTAACCTGACGAATGTCAATGTACAAATATCAACCAGTTCTACTTTGAAAATCTTTCTAGCAAATTTACTGTTGATTAAATTGATGTTTTTCTGACATGGTAACATTTTTGTCAAGTCAATCAATTAAAATGTGAGAAAAATCTTTTTTTTTTTTGAGAGGTTTTTTGCTATAGGGCGCGTGCGCTCGCCAGACAGACAGAGAGAGACAGAGAGACAGAAAGCGAGAAATCATCCCCCAGAGGGGATGGCCACACCGCAATCCCTTCTCCTCCATTCTCCTCTTGGGATCTTGGGCACACATGCACATGCGCCCGGCGTGAGTTTAAGCCACCGGGTCCGGAACTCGAACCGCGGTCGACTACGTGGGAGTCCAGCAACATAGCCATTACGCTAACTGCCGGTCCCATAAAAACCTTAATTGTGGACATTACCAAGGTAAAATAGACATTGTATAAGGGCTATTTGTAAGGGTTACCTGCTGGCAGTTGCTGAATTTCTGGGACTCATTCCCTCCCCTATGCATTCTAACCCCCAGATACGCTCTAGTCCTTCTCCCTGCTACCCTGGAGCCTATCGTCCCCCCACAAGACAATATACATTTTAAATTCTTTAGTGTGTTTCTTACACCATGGGAACCGGAAGATAAATCACTTGAGATCTTTATCCATTAAAGTAAGCCCAAGGTTAGAGACTAGACGCACCTCTCTGAACAGAACAAGCCCCACCAATAAGCTTAGCAGAGAGCAAGCAACGTGTTCACTGCACTCACCTAACATAATTGATTACCAAGAACAGAGTCTACCTCATGATTTATTAGTTACTTGTTTCCATTTAAAGTGCATCTGCGAAAATGCTGTCAGAAAAATTACTATCAAAACTCAGATCATCATTCTTCATCAAGGAGAGCTTGGAATGAAGAAATGAGTATCTACTCCTCAGGGCTGCTTCCTCTCCAACAAACTGTCTGGGACAGGATTCGTTCACGGGGATTCTGCAGTATCCAGGTAACATACCTTCATATTCAGCATGCTATTATTTAAGGGTTCAATTGACTCTTTAAGCACTAAGCAAAAATAAACTTTTAGAATATTAAAATAAAACTACTGGCATTACCCGCTTCTGATATTACTATCTATAATAGTTCATTTTATGTGTCACCTTACCTGGGCCATGGTGCCCAGAGATTTGGTCAAACATTATTCTGGATTTTTCTGTGAAGGTATTTTTTGGATGAAATTAACATTCAAATCGGTGGGTTCTGAGTAAAGCAGAGTACCCTCTATAATGTGGATGAACTTTATCCAATTAACTGAAGACCTTAGTAGAACAAAAACTGACCTCGTTCTGAGTGAGAAGGAATTGTGGCAGTACACTCTGATGACTTGAACAGCCTCTCTTCCCTACATCTCCAACCTGTCAGTCAAGTCCATCAGATTTTGGACTCACCAAGCCTCCAAAATCATATAAGGCAATTCCTTACAATTCATGTATCAAGCTCTCACTCTCTAAACACACACACACACACATCCATAATTGGTCTGTTTCTCTGGAGAATTCTAATTTACCATCCAAAAGAAAACATGGCTTTGCCTGAAATTTATTTTAAAAATGTACAGCTTATTTAAAGATTAACAATCAATAAAATGAACTAAACAAAAGTGTCTAAGAAAAGCTAGCCAAATTCCAGTTGTGGGTCTTATTAGTTTCTGATAGTTTCATTTCATTTCCTAAAAGACTGTAAGCATTGCTGTATCCAAATAAGAGAAAGTAATCTGTCCCCAACATACACTAAGTGCTTAAGCATAAAAGCAAAGATGAAAAATTAAAATAGTTGCTAATATCTTTGTAGATATACAAAATTAAGTCAGCCCATACACAGACATTGACAAATAAGTACAGGCCAACTTTCCCTAGAAAACTCATATAGAATAAAATAAAAGTATAATTACTGACTAATTGTCTGTTATAAGCTACTGCTGATATTTTGAACCATTATTTGCATTGCTTATCTCCAATTCTCATAAGAAACCAGAACAGTAATAAGTAATATAATCTTAGATTTTTTGCTATATGGTATATGCACTCACTGGAGAGACAGAGAGAAACAGAGAGACCGAAAGCGAGAAATCACCCCCCAGGAGGAATGACCACACTGCAATCCCTTCTCCTCCGTTCTCCTCTTGGGATTTGGGGCGTATGTGCACACATGCCTGATGTGAGTTTTAGGCGGCCAGGTCCAGGACTTGAACCACAGTTGACTACACGGGAGTCCAGTGACGTAATCATTATGCCATCTGCTGGTCCCAGAAGTAACTAAAATCTTAATGAGTGACCTGAAGTGAACAAATTTCATTGCACAAAAGAGTCGCCTGATCTTCACAGTGCTAGATATCAGGGTTTATAAAGACTCTCATAAATGTTATTAATGCCATAAGAGAGTCTATATTACAACAACCTTGGCTGGAGTTATTTTATTATTGCTGCAAATGGAAGGAAAAGAGCATATAGGAGAGAGGGGTTACCAGTGGTAGGCATAGAAAGAAGCACACAGATTTAACAGGGAACCTAATGAGTTTCAATTCGTCACCCACATTTGTAACTTTATTAACTTCACTTTTTAAGATCCACTATTTCTGGGACCAGCAGTTGGCGTAATGGCTATGTTGCTGGACTCCCATGTAGTCAACCACGGTTAGAGTCCCGGATCTGGTGGTTTAAACTCACGCCAGGCACATGTGCATGCATGCCCAAGATACCAAGAGGAGAATGGAGAAGGGATTGCAGCATGGCCATCCCCCCTTGGGGGTGATTTCTTGCTTTCTGTCTCTCTGTCTTTCTGGTGAGCACATGCGCCCTATAGCAAAAAAAACTCTCAAAAAAAAAAATCCACTATCTTTTATTTCTATCACAATAATGACTCCCCAGCTCAACAACATCAACACCACTCAGAAGAAACCTGTTTGAAATGCACATTTCTGGATTCCATCTCAGATTTACTGAATCATTCTCTGGGAAGGAGACTTGCAAACTGTGTTTGAACAAACCCTCTAGGGGCCAGCAGGTGGTATGGTAGTTTAGACACTGGACTCCCACATGGCTGACTACATACAGTTCAAGTCCTGGACCTAGTAGCTTGTTTTCTCCCTTTCCTCTCTCTCTTTCTCTCTCTCTCTGTCTCTCTCTGGTGAGCGCATGTGCCCTATGGCAAAAATTAAAATAATAATAATATTAAGAAATAAAATTAAATAAATAACTCCAAACCGGAAAAAAAAAAAACCTCCGAATGATTCTGATGCATGATAGTTTGAGAACCACTGATCTCCAGCAAAGTAAAATCTCTTTTTTTTTTAAAGAGCTTTTGCCTTGGGGTGTATGCTCACTGGAGAGAGAGAGAGACAGAGATGGTGAGAAGAAATGTGAAAAATCACCCCCCATGGGGGATGGCCATGCTGCAATCCCTTCTCCTATATTCTCCGTCTGGAATCTTGGGCACAGATGCACACACACCCGGCATGATTTTCAAGTCACCAGGTCTGGGACTCAAACTGTGGTTGGCCATGTTGGAGTCCAGCGACACACTGCTATGTCACCTGCTGGCCCCTCATATATCTCTAAACACTGAATGACAGAATTTTTGCCACATCATTATGGATCACATGAAAATTTTTATTTATTCTTTAGAGACAAAGTCTTGCCACATTGCCCAGGCTGAGTTCAAGTTCATGATCCTCCTAGCTCAGCTTCTTCAGGAGCTGGTGAGTATAGGCACCCAGCACCACACCCAGCTGGAAGAAATCTGCATTAATACTATCCTTCCTTTTTATAAGGCTTTCAGTCAAATATGTTTTCCCAACACCACCTACTTGACATTATTTACGAATCTACCAATGACATAAAATCCCCAGTCTATTCATAAGGCTGCTTTGTGCTCATCAAGACAAAACAACAGCAAAGATTTTTAGGAAGGGTTATGCTACATTCCCAGGCTAACCCTACAAGTTGAGTGTACTATATTATAAATTGCCAAGTTTTAGATTCAAGTTTTAGTTCTTCTGTCATAAGGGATATAAAAGTTAAAAAGGCCAAAATATTGGGTCATCAGAAAAGTCAGGATGCATTTTTGCAAAGAAAAGCAGAAAAATACATCATGATTTTTCTGACAACCCAATATATATAGTATTTCTACAAAGTTATCGTTTCCCTATAGGTAAATTTGCCAGTAGGGCAAAATCCCCCTGAAGAGGCTATTACTCTGCCAATTTCATTCAGGCTACTAATAGGTATTTGCATCGCTTTGTAGCACTAAGAAAAGTACCTTTAAACTGTTTAATCATATTCTGATGATTTTCGATGGCCTCCTGTAAGATCATTTCAGGCTGGTCCATCTTCCACCGCCATTCAGTGCCCACGGGATTGGTGTGGTGCCTAGGAACAAGACACAAAGATCTTATTACTCCCTGTAATAAGTTCTTGGCTAATCATCTATTATGAGGTAGTCTATAATATCATAAATCAGAGTTGGTTTCCTCCTATGAGCTCAATTGTCTACAGAAATATTTTGCAATTATTTCAAGTCATGACAACTAGCAGAGAAGGGAAGATAAAGAAGAGAAGTCATTCAACATCTCTGCTTAGCCTCTGGCCCTTAACGGAGTCAACTTCAGTTATAGGTTGATAGAACACTCTCTCCTGCTTTTAATCAGGTTAGCTATGTGCACACACCAGCACAAGGTGAGCTGTCACCACCACATTGCCACCACCAAAGTCAATGTTCCATAGGGTGATGAAAGCTAAAACACTTATTTTGAAAATCACATTGAGAAAGCGTGAGAGAGTGCCTCTTGATGTAGGCCTAGGGAGGGAACAGAAACTTCACTTGTAACCTTCTTCCCTACAACACTTACAGAACAGAAGTGGGGAGAGTTCAATTTCTCTTTCAAGTATGCACACAATCACTGGCATTTATAAATATATACATATTTTACAGAGTACACACACTAGAACTAGTAAGAAAGCGAGTAAGGGAGCCTAACAAATGCATAAGATATGTGGTGAATATATAAAGCTATTGTCTTTATATGCCAGCAATGCAAAAATTATAATTGGAAACATAAAGAAAATATAATTTACATTCCAAAAAGAAATCTCTTCCCCTTAGCTCTCACTCTTGAGTCCCTACATCACCTCCCCCTCCAGGCAACCACTAAACTATTTTCTGTCTCTATAGACTTGTCCATTCTGGGCATTTTGTAAAAATGAAATCATACAAAATATGACCTTTTGTGATTGGCATCATTTTTTTTTTTTTAAGAGAAATTTTTGCTATCGGGTGAATGCAATTGCCAGAGAGACACAGACAGAGAAAGTAAGAAATCACCTCCCAGGGAAGATGGCCAAGCCGCAGTCCCTTCTCCTCCATTTTCCTCTTGAGATGTTGGGAATGGATGCACGCACATGTGCCCAGCGTGAGTTTCAAGCCGTCACTTCTGGGACTTGAACTGCAGTTGGCCGTATGGGAGTCCAATGCCTTAATCATTATACCACCTGCTGGCCCCTTGTGTGTAGCACCTTAACATAATGTTTTTGGTGTTCATCCACTATATAGCATGTTATCATTATTTAATTAATTTTTATTGCCAAATAATATTCTACCACGTTCTGTCTATCCATTTATCAGCTAATGAACATACGACCTTCATTTCTTTCTGGATATTATGAATACGTCTTCATGCACATATTGGCTATTTGTGTATCTTCTTTTGAGGACTGTCTATTCAATTCCTTTGCCTATTTTTTTCTTTTTTTTTTTTTAAGAGAGAGAGTTTTGCTATAGGGTACATGCACTTGCCAAAGAAAGAGAGAGGGACAGAGAGACAGAAAGTGAGAAATCACCCCCCAGGAGGTATGGCCACATCGCAATCCCTTCTCCTCCATTCTCCTCTTGGGATCTTGGACATGTGTGCACATGCACCTGGCATGAATTTTATGCTTCCAGGTCTGGGACTTGAACCACAGTCGACGATGTGGGAGTCCAGTGACATAACCACTACACCATCTGCTGGTCCTCTTTGCTCATTTTTTTAATTGCCAGAGGGCATGTATGCTCATAGGGGTGGTGGGGAGCACCTCCCCGTGGGACATGGTCACACCACAATCCCTTCTCTTCCATTTCTCCATCCTATCTGGATTTTGGACATGCACATGCCCAACATGTTTCTCATGTTGCTGGGGCCAGGATTCAGACTGTAGCCAGTCATGTGGAATCTGGCTCCCTTAAGCACTAGACTACAGAGTTGGCCTGCCTTTTTCTTTTTAAATCGAGTTATTTGCTCAAGACAGATATAATTCTTAATTAAAATTTTTCAAGAATAAAATAAAATTTCTATTTAAACAAACAAATATTAGACACACAATGGTTAATTTGGGACATCTATACATATGACACCCAACAAATGCTTCTGAAAACTAGGAGAATAGTATTTAACTATCCATAACAATCTATTTCATGTATTATTAAAAAGAAGTAAAAAAAAAAACTCACTTTGAAAATTTTACATCTATGTATAACATATTATATAGCTTAAAGACACTGCCATGCACAATCTCACTCAAGTAATTAAATCTTCCAGAAACCACATAAGGAAAACACTATTGTTCTAATTTACAGTTAGGAAACTGAGACTCACAGAATATTTTTTTTAAATCTCTTTAAGAAAAAAACAACAAAACATTTATGTAAGCATTTACATGGTTTTTTGTTAGGCCTTTTCTGACATCCTTGTTATACTACTGTATTCTTAATTGAAACAGATGGCAAATTCTAATTTTAAAAGTTAGTATATTAGTATTGCTTTACCAGAAGCCATGGCAAATGAAATAGCTCCATTTAGTTAGATCTTACTAAAATTTCATTAATGAATTTGTTAAGCATATTGTTCGCTTGTTTTTTAATCTTCGTAAGTTTATTGCTCAAGAAATAGAAGGACTACATTTTTGCCTACAACTGGTAATAAAGGTAAAAAGCATTATCCATTAAGTTCTGTTATTTCTTTTTAAATTTTTGCAAATAAACAACCATTTATATCAATAAGCAAGCTAAAGATTAGGAATCATGGCTACTATAAAATGTAAAACCATGAGAATAAGAACACAAAGCATTTGATTATTTCTCCCACAACTTAAGTATAATGTGATCGAGATATTCCAGCTGACATAATCATGGCTCACATGCTTTTGTTTTGGAAGTGCTCACTCTGTAATATTTCTTCCCTTCTCTTTTCTTTTTTAGTTTTTTGTAATATTTCAAATTTTGGGCCAGCCCATGGAGTGGTGGTTAGGTGGTTGAATTCTATATAGTTGACTGCACGTTAAGTCCTGGACCTCGGGGCTTGAAAACCACACCAGGCGCTCATGTGTGCATGCCCACCCTAAATCCTAATGAGAGGGAGAAATGGGGAGAAGGGATGACTAGAAAAGGAAACACACGGTATTGTGGCTATATTCTTTTTTATAATAGATCTTATTTTTGTAGATTTTATGTTATCTGTCAGTTGAAACATGTACCAGTAAAAAACATGGTGGCTCACATTAGCATCAAAATGGTAAGAACTAAAGCAGGTAGAGAAAACATAATTGCTCAAATGATGATAAATGCATACAGAGGTTCATTGTACTATCCTCTACCTGCATGTAAAAGACCATGACAAAGAAAAAAATTCTCTTTGAACAAAGGAGGGAGATCTATTATATATCCCAGAAGATAAATTAACAACCTACTGCTGACTGTGTCAAAACAATACAACTGAGACAAACAACAGATAGCAGAATGTCTGGGAGGAAAAACTATCAATCGAAGACAGACTCTATGGTGACTTGGGACACTGAAAATGTTCACGGGTCTTGAAATTTACAGTCTCACACTGGACAGGATAAATGTAAGAAAAGATCTGAGAATATCCCCAAATTTCACATATGCCTGATCTTTAGGCTTAGCACAAGTAGGAAGTGAATGCTAAGCTAAGGCAGAGTTGTAAATGCCCTGGCAAAGTTTTAAAAGAGTACCAGACCCAGCTGCAATGCCATACACTGCTAAGCTGCTGTGTTCCATAGTCTGGAACCAAAAGGGAGGCCTTGGATCAATTCCTAGTTTCACCTGAAGTTCTGTAGAGTGGGACACAACCGTACCCCAGCAACTTGGGGAGGTTGCGAGAAGGAGCATGAATTTGAGGCTGGCCCACACAACAAAGCAAGACCCTTTCTAAGAAAGAGCCAGGTGCAGTGGTGCATATCTGGAATAGCAGCTGGGAGGCAGGGCAGGTGGATCGTACCACAGCAATAAAAATAAACCAATTTTTTTTTTTGAAAAGTGCCTGGGAACCAGCAGTTAGCGTAATGGCTATGTTGCAGGACTCCCACGTAGTCGACCGCGGTTCGCGTCCCGGACCCGGTGGCTTAAAACTCACGCTGGGCGCGTGTGCGTGCGTGCCCAAGATCCCGAGAGGAGAATGGAGGAGAAGGGATTGCGGCGTGACCATACCCCCTGGGGGGTGATTTCTCGCTTTCTGTCTCTATGTCTCTCTCTGTCTGTCTGGCGAGCGCACGTGCCCTACAGTGAAAATCTCTCAAAAAAAAAAAAAAAAAAAATGCCTTACAGAAATGGATTGTTGTCTGTTGATGATAATGTGTATAGTATCCTCAACTGGACTGGTGTGAGGTGTATTCGTGTTGGTAAATCCACTTTACAACCAAGTGATGTACAGTGATTGAATGTATACAATAAACTAAAAAAAAAAAAAAAAAAAAAAAAAAAAAGTACCCCAACCCCCAGCCAATCCACAAAGACTAGAAAAAGCATTTTTCTCTCTTGCTTTATTTCCTTTAGTTCTATGAGCTCAAGAAAATCTCTGTAAATTATTGGGTCCTCAGGAAAGTCATGACACATTTTTGCATAGAAAAACATCGAAAAATACATCATGACTTTTCCGACGACAACTAAACTCAAGAGACAAACATCAGAGACAAAACACAACAAAGAACAAAGTCTTCACAAAGATAGTGTAGAAACCTCACTAAACATACAACTGCAACCCAGAATGAACAACAAAAACAAACCTGAAGCGTAGAAAGGACCTGACTTACACCTGACTTACAGAGTTATAGAGTTAACATACTACAATCATCAAGATAACCAGTTTTCAACAAAACAGCACAGCATGCAAAGAAACAAGAAAAGTGTGGCCATTTACAGGAGACATTAACAGGAGGACACTTATTTGTACGAAATATGCCTAAAATACAAGGTTGAAGTTACATAGATAAAGGCAGGAGAAAAAAGTCTTAACAACCAAAACTCAAGTGCACTGATATTAATATCAGAAGGGACTTCAAGAAGAAACTTTAGGGAACCAGCATTTAGCATAATGGCTATGTCGCAGGACTCCCACGTAGTCGACCACGGTTCGCGTCCCGGACCCGGTGGCTTAAAATTCACGCCGGGCACGTGAAGTGCATGCCCAAGATCCCGAGAGGAGAATGGAGAAGGGATTGTGGCATGACCATCCCCCCTGGGGGGGTGATATCTCGCTTTCTGTCTCTAATGTCTCTGTCTGTTGAGCGATAGAATAGAGAAAAAAAAAAAAAAAAAAAAAAAAAAAAAAAAAAAAAGTACCCCAACCCACAGTCAATCCACAAAGACTAGAAAAAGCATTTTTCTCTCTTGCTTTATTTCCTTTAGTTCTATGAGCTCAAGAAAATCTCTGTAAATTATTGGGTCCTCAGGAAAGTCATGACACATTTTTGCATAGAAAAACATCGAAAAATACATCATGACTTTTCCGACGACAACTAAACTCAAGAGACAAACATCAGAGACAAAACACAACAAAGAACAAAGTCTTCACAAAGATAGTGTAGAAACCTCACTAAACATACAACTGCAACCCAGAATGAACAACAAAAACAAACCTGAAGCGTAGAAAGGACCTGACTTACACCTGACTTACAGAGTTATAGAGTTAACATACTACAATCATCAAGATAACCAGTTTTCAACAAAACAGCACAGCATGCAAAGAAACAAGAAAAGTGTGGCCATTTACAGGAGACATTAACAGGAGGACACTTATTTGTACGAAATATGCCTAAAATACAAGGTTGAAGTTACATAGATAAAGGCAGGAGAAAAAAGTCTTAACAACCAAAACTCAAGTGCACTGATATTAATATCAGAAGGGACTTCAAGAAGAAACTTTAGGGAACCAGCATTTAGCATAATGGCTATGTCGCAGGACTCCCACGTAGTCGACCACGGTTCGCGTCCCGGACCCGGTGGCTTAAAATTCACGCCGGGCACGTGAAGTGCATGCCCAAGATCCCGAGAGGAGAATGGAGAAGGGATTGTGGCATGACCATCCCCCCTGGGGGGGTGATATCTCGCTTTCTGTCTCTAATGTCTCTGTCTGTTGAGCGCACGCGCCCTATAGTGAAAAATCTCTCCAAGAAGAACCTTTAAAGCTGGTTTATTATCCAACAAGTAAAAAAATAAACTTTTGTTTCCCATCTACATATGATAATTTTTTAAAGAGATTTTTACCTTAGGGTGTCTGCTATAGCCAGAGAGAAAGAGAGACAGAGACAGTGAGAGGGAAAGTGAGAAATCACCCACTTCCGGGGGGGAGAGATGACCACGCCGCAATCCCTTCTCCTCCATTCTCCTCCAGGGATCTTGGGCATACATGCACAAGCGCCCAGAGTGATTTTTAAGCCACCAGGTCCAGGATTCAAACCACAGTGGACCATGTTAGAGTCCAGCCATGTAACTGCTATGCCATCTGCTGGCTCCTGATAGTTTTTAAATTTTGCCATAGAGTACATTTGCTCACTGGATAGACAGGGGCTGGCATGGGGGAGGGGAGTGGAAAAATACTCCCAGGGTAGATGGCCATACTACAATCTCTTCTCCATCATTCTCCTCTCGGGATTCTGGGCATGCACACGCACATGCTGGGCGTGTTTTTCTAGCCACCAAGACTTGAGCTGCATAGTCAGTCATGTAAAATCCAGCCATCTTCATTACCATACTACCAGCTGACCTAACAGATGTTCTTAAAAATTTTCTTTAACAGGGCACATACATTCACCAGATAGAGACAGAGAAAGAGAGAAAGCAAGAAAGTATCCACCATGAGGCACTATCACATCACAATCCCTCTCCTCCATCTCCCCCTCCTTTCAGGATTTTGGACATGCATGCACAAGCACCCAGTGTGTTTCCCAAGCCACCATGTCTGGAATTTGAACCGTGCAATCGGCCATGGGATATCCATCTGCCTTAACCATCATGCCACAAGCTTATCCCATATGACAGATTTTTTTAAAGAATCATTTTAATTTTACTTTATAAATTCATTCATTTTTGTTATTTTAATTTGACCAGAGAGGGGAGGAGGGAGTGAGAAAGCAAGCCACAAGGTCCAGGACTTGAACCATGGTTAGCCATGTAGGAGTGTCCAGCACCTTAACCACCACGCTACCTGCTAGTCCCTTCATGTGACAGATTTTTAAAATCTGACCATATACTAGGCATATAGCACTTCTCAATATTTTTTCAAATAACTTATAGAGACCCTATTGTGTAACAATAACACAACTTGGTTGAAAATTAACAACAAAATTATGACATCCCCCCCCAAAAAAAAAAGTCTAATTAATGTGTAATTTTTAAATACAGGTTGAGTATCTCTAATCTAAAAATCCAAAATCTTTCCAAATCTGAAACTTTGAGGAATGGCACAATGTCACGAGTGGAAAATTCCACACCTGATCTCAGATGGATTGCAGTCAAAACACTGTAGTAGAAATACATTGTACAAAGTAACCTTCATACTGTATGTATAAGCTGTATAAGAAGCACAAACAGATTTTGTGTTCACACTTCAGCCCCATCCCACGATAGCTTATCACGTGTATGCAAGTATACCAAAACTAAATCTAACCTAAAATCAAAACCATTTCTGAACCCATGTATTTTGTTTCAGACAAGGGATAGTCAACCTATAAATATGTCTTTTAATCGTGAGTTAGTTACACAGAAATCATAATGAAAATTAGGAAATATTTACTACAGAATAATAATTAATGTACTACTAATTACGATATATAAAATGTAGCTAAAGAACTGAGAGAAAATTTTATAAATATTTATAGAGGACTAAATATTAATGAACAGGCCACGTTAAGTAAGAAAAAAAACAAAATAGTAGCAAATTAGTGAACTAGAAAACAAAGATATAATAGAGAGGATCCACACAGCTAAAATGTTCTTCAGGACCAGCAGATGGTGTAACGGTTATGTCGCTAGACTCCTACATAGTCAACCACGGTTCGAGTCCCGGACTCAGCAGCTTACAACACATGCCAGGCACGTGTGCATACATGACCAAAATCCCAAGAGGAGAATCAAGGAGAAGGGAGTGCAGTGTGGCCATCCTCTCTGGGGGCGGAGGAGCGGTACAATTTGTCAATTTCTGTCTCTTTGTCTCTCTGGCCCTATAGCAAAAAATCTCTCTCTTAAAAAAAAAAAAAAAAAAGTAGTTCTTCAAAAAGACTGACAAATCCCTAGTAAAACTGGTCAAAAAAACACACACAAAAAAAAACACCAAATGTATATGTACTAAGTTTAGGAATTTTTGAAAAAGGAAAGTAATTATGAAAACGCAAGAGCTTTAGGTAAGTTTGAATGTGGTAGTAGAAAGAAACAGATTATTAGAGATTATTACATACTGGTCACTGTGGCCATTCAGTTTTTACTTACCGCCAACAGAAGACACATTTATTTGCACATGCCAAGCTCGGGGTGGTTTCCATGCAGCGATGGCTTTCAATGCCATAGAATGTATGTTTATAGCAACCTCCTCTCCCGCGAAGCATCGACTATGACAAGCAATAAACAAATGACAGTCATTAAAGAACAGAAAACACCAATGTGTTGTTTTTAAGAAGCCATGTGTTTCATAAGCATAACTACTATTTGCCTGATACGGAAAATTAACATTACAGTATCACCTCAGAAAGCTCAATAGCAAGGCCTAAAACAGTATTAGTACAAAAATATATAGAGCCAAGGGACAGATAGGACAGGATCCTAAAAATACGGGCGCAGGGCTGTTGTTCAATGTGTATACATTCTTTTATTATTATAAAATGTCTCACTTTGTCACTAGTAATTCTCTTTGTTCTGACATCTACCTAATATATTGATGTGGTATAATTTTTCCAACTTTTTTTTTTAACATTTATTTATTTATTTATTTACCTATTTATTTGTTGTGATTTATTTACTTTTTTTGAGCCACCAGATCCGGGACATGAACCACAGTCATCCATGTGGGTGTCCAATGTCTTAACCACGTCACATGCTGGCCCCTTTCCAATCATTTTAGACATAATGCTGTTGCAAACTTAACAGACTTATGTTACTGCATTTGAAGTGAATATTCTTGTAAACATATACTTAGTCATAATTTTCATCCATTCTTCCCATCTCTAACATTTGAGCGATATATTTACAATAGTTACATTTGAGTAATTACTGATACATTAGCACCTAAATCTACTACTTTATTATTGGTCTTCTATTTCTGTTCTCTTGTTCCTCTTTTCTTGACCTTCTACAGATTACATAAACATTTTTAAGCTTCCCTCTTAATTTGTGCCATGTTTTTGACTTTCTGTCTTTGTGTAGTTTTTGTATTGGTTGCTTTGGGTAACCCAACATACGTCCGTGGACTTACCATAGTCTACTAGTATTGACACCACTTTCAATGAAGTATGGAAATACTATTTCCATTTAGGTTTTTTAACCTCCCCCCATTTAAATATCATTGTCTTGAGTACCATATATTACAATTTTCATTTCAGTAATCAATATGATTTATAAAACTTCTGCAAAATATGATCCTTACAGGTATTCATTCTTTTGCCTTTTTCCATTGTTCTTTGTTACTTCCAGATGCTCCAAGAATCATTCTTTTTTCATGTAACTCCATTTGCAGAATTATCTTTAACTAATCTGTAAGTGCAGGCTGGACAGCAACGAATTCTTTTAGTTTTTCTTGATCTGATAATGTCTTTATTTACTTTTCATTCTTAAAGGATATTTTTGCCAGATATGGACTTCAAGGTTAATGGTTCCTTTGTTTCAACACTTGAAAAGTGCTACTTCTTATCTCCATGATATCGGCACTATTCTTAATATCAGCCTTATTCTACAGGTAATACATATCAGCATTGTTCTATAGGTAATACGCTGGTTTTTCATAGCCGCTTTCTAGATTTTTAGATTAATTATAAAAAGTGTCTTGGTATGGATTTCTTTGCTTTAATCCTGTTTGGAGTTCAGTCACATTCTTGAATCTATAGGCCTCATCAAATTTGGGCCATTTTCAGTCATTATTTCTGCAAATACTGTTTCAGCACTATTCATTACACTTTCATTCCGTAAATCTAATGACATAAACACTGTACCTCTTATTATTGCCCCACAAGTTCCTAGGGCTCTACTTACTGTTCATTTTCCCTCATTTATTATTGCCTCTGTTGTTCAGAATGGATAAATTCTATTGATCTGTCCTGTTCACAGATCATTCTATTGATCCACCAAGGTCACTGCTTCCGTACCCTGTCATCTCCACTCGACTGTCGAGCCCATCAGTGAGATGTTTATTTCTGTTACCTTACCTTTCAATTTTATAACTCCTCCTTGCTTCTTTTATAACTTCTATTTCTTTGCTGAGGTTTTTTATGTTTTCATTTGTTTCAAGCAGTTTGTGACTGATTTCTGAAGGATTTTTGCTGACAGCTACTTTAAAATTCTTGTCAGCTAAGTTTATCATTTGATTGATCTGATGTTTGTGTCGGTTGATTATCTTTTCTTATTCAAATTGTGATTTTCTTGGTTCTTGGTATGACAGGTGATTTTGTATACACACACACACACACACACACACACACACACTGTATCCTAGACATTTTACCTACCATGTTAGGAGACTAGACTCTATAGCAGGTAGTCATTTTGCTTCAGTTTAGTATGCTGTTCGTGGCCTACTTTTGTGTACTATGGTTCCAATAGCAGTTTAATTTTGAGAGCCTTTTTTTCCTATTTATTTCTTTTTCTTATTTTAATTGCCAGAGGGTGAGTATGCTAGCCAGAGAGAGAGAGATAAAGAGAGGGAGAGGAAAAATGCATCCCCCAATGGGGCATAATCTTACATCTCTCCATTATGAAGGAATTTAGGACATACATACACAAACATCAACATGTTTTCCAAAGAGCTGGGGCCAGGATTTGAACTGTGATCAGCCATCTGGGATCTGGCTCACCCTAAAGCACTAAGCTATGGGGCAGCCCATTTTTGAGAGCCTTTGCAACATAATTATGGTGGACTTCCAAGGCCACATTGCTTGGAGGTACAAGTTCCTCTAGCCTATGCTCTCTGGTAGCCCCAGTTTTTCTGGGTAGAGAGGAAATCTCAGACCCAAAAGACACCAAGGCCCTGGATGGGCCACTTGCTGTAGTAGGCTCTCCCTTACCAGTGCTCCCAGCAACAAGAGTACCACTTGGTGAGGAAAAGGAGTCTCTGGCCCAGCCGGAATAGAAAGTACTTCACAGGCAAGGCCATTTGTTGAGTGGGAGGATGGAGTTCCTCTTTCTGCTGCTACTTGGCCAACCTGTTATCTCTTGGCAGGGGAGAGAAAGTTCAAGCAAGGTGAGGAAGGAGCACTTGCCCTGATCCTTACTTTAGTAGGGATCCCAACCGACCCCCTCTGCCAATGGTATTGGGTTTGCATGATCCAGTTGGAGGGATTCCCATTCAAGTCAAGGAAAGAATAAGCCAACCTCAGTGTCCCTCTGTTGTTAGGTTAGGAGCAAAACAACACTGGATCTAGGTGCCCAACTTCTCTTAGTTGGGGGGAATATAAGACACTCTGCCATTGTGTTGTTCCTCTCATCCCAGGGTCCCAAACCAGATAGCCTTCCTCTTACCATGTCAGAGCTCTTGCTGGGTTGCCTCTTGTGTGTTTTCCCCAGAGTTTATAGTTGTGCTTAGTAAGGAACAGGGAGGAATGGTTTCTGCCATCTTTTCTAGACCAGAAGTCTCTTGACATTTTCCAAGTGTTACCGCAACTAACACAGAATAGACAGCCAGCATTGAAATGCAAAGACCTGACTGCCATACATGTTCAGGCTTAAAAGTGTTCACATAGTAAATGTAGGGGGAAATATATAGATAGTGTCAGACTCATCAATTTATGAATTCTTGTCCTCAAAGAAAAGAAGGACCTCAGAAAATACAACTGCAGCCTGGCAGAGCCACACTAAATGAATGCAAGACATGATTCATGGCTATGATCTGTGCACATTAATTGTACTGCCTCTCTCTAGAATATCTTTTCAAAATGCTTGTTTAACAAACAGTCTTAGAAGACAGAAAAAGAGGTAACCACCTCTAAAGCAAATGGTGGGTGTATTTCCTGCCCATTTTTATCAAAATAATGTATCTTGTTGGGGCAAAGGTCAGACAGGAGGATTACTGCCAATTATAAGACTCATGCTCCCTTGCTTGGGGTTCCTCACCTATGGTATATGAAGAGATGTTACCAGGTCCTCCTAATGCTCCTTTATGGGAGTTGGGGCTCAGGAACCAGAGTGAATGTGATAGTCTGGCTATTAAGTCTGGCTATTATTACGATTATGAGTAATAAAATTATCCTTGTCTCTAAACAGAAGTCTCACATCTACCAGGGTCCATGAAACTATGAGAGGCTAACTAGTTAGCTTGCTAGTAGAGAAACATTTTGGACTTTTCCATTTTCGAATGAAGTAATGGAGAGCTCAATTCAGAGGTCAATAAACTACAACCATGGGACAAATCCGGCCAACCGTTCACTTGTCCAAATGAAGTTCTATCAGAATCCAGTCGCCCCCATTCATTTATGTATCATCAATGGCTGCTTTTATGCTACCATGGCAGAGCTGACAGCTACAACAGAGATCATGACACTCAAGCCTAAGATAATCATTATTGGGGTTTTTTTGTTTTTTGTTTTTTTAGAGATTTTTGCTATAGGGCGGATGCACTCACCATAACGATAAGAGAGAAACAGAAAGTGAGAAATCACCCCTGGCGGGATGGCCACACTGCAATCCCTTCTCCTCTACTCTCCTTTTGAGATTTTGGGCACGCACGCACATACACACAGAGTGTTTAAGCCATGGGGTCTGGAAATTGAACCATGGTCAACTATGTATATGAGAGTCCAGCAACATAACCATTACACTATCTGCTGGTCCCTACTATCTGGCTTTTTAAGAAAAAGTTTGCTGGGACCAGCATATGGTGTAATGGATATGTCACTGGACTCCCACATGGCCGACTACGGTTCAAGTCCCGGATCTGGCGGCTTGAAATCGACACCAGGCATATGTGCGTGCATGCCCAAGGTCCCAAGAGAGAATAAAGGAGAAGGAACTGCAGTATGGCCATCTCCCACCCCCAGGGCAGGGGAATGATTTCTCATTTTCTGTCTCTCTCTCCCTGGCAAGCACTCTATAGCAAAAATCTCTCTTAAAAAAAAAAAAAAAAGAAAGAAAGAAAGGTTTCCTGACTGCCAATTTAAATATTTATTCCATACTCCAGAACAAAATAAATTCCAAATGATTAAACAGGCCAAAAAAAAAAAAAAGCCATAAAAAAAAAAAATCAACAAAAACAGAAGTGACTAGTCATCCAAATCCATGTGAAAGAATTTTGTAAGTTTTACAAACAGGAAAAAAACACAAAGGTAATAGTAAATGGATAAAACTATATAAAAATGCAAAACTTAAATACATCAAACATCAAAGGGCAATAAATAAACTAGAAAAAAAT